ATATTGCAATATTCTTTTGCACACATACTGCCATTGACAATTGTTCGCGGTAAATTGTACACACCAGTCTTGTTTGATGATGTTATTCGAAAATATGGATTCTGATCGATTTCTTCTATTATACCAATCCATACTTGACTATTCACTTGACTTGTTACAGCAATATAAGTTGATGTGTTTTGTTTATAAGCGGATATTGCAGAATAATCACGAAATTTAATATCAAATGGTAGATTAATTATTCCTACTGATACCCATTGACAAGAATCTAGAATGATTGAAAAATAAATTATTTTTTCTTAAAGAAAAATCGTTCACCAACTATTATGAGTCGTTTCATGTTTGTCTAACACAACAAGTTTTCCATTTCCAAGGCTAGTAACTGGGTCTTCAGAATTGGATTGAGGCTTACATTTATTCCCTTCACATAATGCAAGCAAATAATTTTTATTTCTCTTGTGATGCATCATAAATTCGAGACCTTCAAATCCTTTAGAAGTCGACTCAAATGTCCAATTTATTCGACATGATTGAATAAGATTTATAGACGAAAACGTAACATTTGTTGTTATTTGAACTTCAAAAATATTTGAATTGTATTCATTTGAACTAACATTAGATGAAATTGTTTCTTGTACAATAAAATACGTGTCAGTTAATGAATTGTAAGCTATACCTTCGAATTCTGAATTGAGTTTATTAAATGTATTATCAGGCCAATCGAGCAGTTTATTAGTACAATTTATAGTTCGAATAGCCAACCAAGTACAAAAGACACCAATTTGAAATGTATTATCAAATATGATATACATAATAAGATTATCCGGTCGAAGTACAACACCTGAAGTTTCGAAAGCATCGGGAATATTAGATTCATTTCTTTCGTTTTCATAGTACCTTAGAATACAAAATAAACGTTCTTTAGAATCAAAGAAAACAATGAATATCATACAATGAATCACGGATATTTTGTTCATGTAATAATATTAATGTTTGATTTCTATTACATTGTTCTTCTTGTCCATAAATATTAATAGAATAGATTATAATTAAAATGAATTGCATGGCAAGAATCAATTTGTGTAGTTTCATTTTAATTTTTGTTATTGTGCTTGTGTGTTGATCAATATAAAACTAAAAGTTTTCAGCTCAGTCCATACAGAATAAACATATGAAACACAATAGAACCACTTTAATTCTTTACAATGATCCTCACTTTATTGATCGCCATCCGCTAGAGGAGGTAGTACTAAGTTTTTATTCATAAAAGAAAAGGTTATTACTACTGCTTTCATTTATTACTATCTACTCTAACACAAAATTTTCTTAATATGATTTTCATTCTTGATACTTACGATGGTGATAGGAATTACATAATTTGAAAGTGATTTTGGAGCAAAAGCTCATATATGTCTTCTTGTGTCGCATATGTATTGTTTATCTCTATGAGCTCCATCCATCAGATAAATACTTCTGAAGATTGTAAAAGAATGACTGAAAATCATTCAAAGGAATTGTATACCTTACAAGTCGAATAAAACAAAGATTCCTACAAGAAATATTTGTTCAATGAAAATACTGTAAATGTCTTATGTTTCCACTCAAATTCATCATGACAATATAAGTTTGTTAGTTCGAGATAGGAGACAACAAGAAAGATGGCTTTCATCGATATTAGTTGTAAATTGTATTTGGAAAGAACAAAAAAACAAACTATTCATGTTAAAGTGCACTATGCATCAAATGAATAAGTTATAAACATATTCAAACTTTTATTAAAGACGAGCCAACTAATATTTCGCGGTATAGGCTAAAATTTGAGTGAAGTATTGTACCGGTCGATACACAAACATCTAATATTCTTTTCCCTCTTAAAAATAATCTCTTCGATTGAACTGAACATATAATAAATGTAATGATCAGACTATGAAAAACTAGAAATTCTGTGAAGAATTGGAATATGCTCTGCAAGATTAAACATTGTATGGAAAAAATTAATCAAGTTCGTACGCCGATGCTATGTTATCTAAAGCTGTTTCAATTTGCTCAAGCGATTTTTTAGTCAAGGTAAACTGATTTTTATTCATTTACGTTTCGCATGTGTGTTAGACAACTATTGTTTTGTTTCCTAGTATTCAAAGATACTTTTCTGTGCTGTATTCATATATTTATGTCGAGAATAGCCCTCTGTAACAGTATATTTTTCAGTGTGATATCACAAAATGTTTCACTATATGTTAGAAGATTTTCATTTCATGAAAAGGCGCTTTTACTCGCAATAGAAAATCCAATATTCATTTAACTTGTTTGTTAAATAACTTATTTTTTCGCAAAAAGCGCATTGTAAATAGACAAGATGAGTTTATGTGCATTAAAATAAAAATAAACGATGTTTTTAAACGCAAAAATAGCATTTTTCTCTGAAACTTTCCATTACATCGCTGTTTTGCATAGCTATTTTTCTCATAGATTAATAAATTTTCACATATATGATGTTCAACAATGGATTACTGACTAGAAAGTTCAATCTTTTTTCAAATGAACAAAAAGAAAGAGATTGTTTCCAAGTTTTTTTTCACGAAAATACTCTAAAATAAAACTATAGCATAATCATGTTAGTTACCTGGCTTAATCTGTCTTATAGATATAATATCAAATGCTGAAGGAGATTTTTCTTAGACGTGTTATTTTTGATAAGAACAATTTAGGTAAAACGATACTAATGCAAGTCACAAGATATTGTTAAGACGAATATGATTCATTAGCATACAACTTAGATATTAATCTATATTGACAATAACAAACACGTTCTTTTTTTAATCAAAGAAGTATTCGAACATTATCGAATATTTAAGAACTCATTGATAAAGACGTTAAATAGGAAAAGAAAAGAAGAATCGATAACTAATGAAGAGTGATACTCTCGAAAAACTTGATGTCCTCTATTCCAAACTAGTACTCAACATGTCCAACAGTCATAGCTGGTAGGATATGACCTACACCACTTATTAGATGTAGATATGATAGCCATCGAAGTGAACACAACGCATTAATTTACAGTAATTATGCCATAGTGTCTAGAAAAGTTATCAGATGCATTATCTCAATAAAGAGCACGGGATGGATCGATAAGTAATCTATCTGTAGATTATTACTTTTCAGCACACATTCACTTTGTCATTGAAATTGACTCAGGAAAACTAAGAGTTAAGATGTTAATTTTCTGCAATTTTTCACCATACTGAAAATGCATACATCATCAAAGTAGAATAATCAATTCTATAGAGATCACAGTTCGGAGCGACACATTTATTTGACTTTTCATAAATAAGAAAATGTCGTTATAATCAGTTAGGTCCAGTTATAGAATTTCGAGTTCTTTCTTCAAGTTTATGATTTTTTATAGTATACCGACGATTGAGCCCGTGATCATTGAGCCTAGAATGAAGACCACTATGCAAGTTCAGTGTACTCCTACAAGTAATTATTGGCATTATAAGCTTGAAAAAAGTTCTTGATCTTTTAAACAGTTTGTGCCTCTTCTTTTTTTCCAGCTTTTAACCTCGAATCTACAAGCAAATTTACACATTTTTCTATTTCAAGGTTTTTCATGAAAGCACTAAGATACGGTTTATCGAAGTTAAATGCCTCACATTCGATTGTGACTGAGAGTTTTCGAACTGGAATAATGAAGATGTTATTTGTGAATATATGAACCAATAGTTAGAACAGTTAATCACTACTTTTCCTAGTTAAACAAGAGGCAATACTTTTAAACGATCGAAAACTTTTTTATTTGTGATCTCAATAATTGTTTATATGAATAAACTGAAGTTACATGGTGTTCTATAAGTACTAGACTCAACTACTCTGTTATCGATCTATAGAATGTCAAAATTTCTTAGTGAAAATCGAAAATTTTTGCTTTTAAAAAGTTGAGTAAATATGCCATTCATAACGAAAATATCGCTGAAATTCATAGATTAATTGTTACAACATGTGAGTGAACAATACAGATAATCAGTTTGTCGTTTAGTCTTCTTATTTTGCAGATCCTTAAAATTTTATAATAAACATAGAGCATCGATGTTACAGAATTTTCAATGTTATAAAAAAGTGTAAACACCTTTACAAACAATACAAAAAGTAGTTCATAAAGATCAAAATGCCATCAGTAAGACTAGAGCAAGATACAGTCTTCGAAGGATTAAGATGTTGGATTGTTTGGGCAGTATACCTCAGAATGATAACATGATCTGCTTTGCTTCGGCCAATTTGACACCCTCAGAAGCCATGATGGTGATTTCTCCATCAGCCTTTACCCTCAGCTTCAGAAATGCACAATTGGTTACCTGCCAGCGAAGTCCAGGGCGAAAGTCCAAGTGATAAAGTATGCTTCGCAAGATACCACCATGGCTACAAAGTAAAATTGGATCATCACTTATCGGTGTAGAAAATGCAATGGATCGGATAAAAGTTTGTAGTCGTTGATATGCATCAGAATAGCTTTCAGCAGTATCATCCCATTTAAATGACAAATATTCCTCTTGCGTGAAATTGTCAACATCGATAGTTTGTTCCAAGTGTGATTTTAATTCACCAGCAAAACGTCCTTCCCATGTTCCCAAGCATCTTTCTCGAAGCAGTGGTGTTTCATTAATAGTTGATTTGTTCGAACCGAGAATCAGTTCAGCAGTTGAACACGCTCGTATCAAATCGGATGAGAATACTTTTGAAAAATGAATGCCAGCGAACTTTTCTTGAAGTTGACAAGCCTGCAGTTTGCCTTTCGCACTTAACGCAATATCTGTATGTCCTTGAAGTCTCGTTTGAGTGTTCCAATCAGTTTCACCATGTCTTACTATGTAGATGTTAAAGAAAGTATTTCGGGTAATGACGGTGAGTCCGTGAATTTTGTAAGCATGATGAATGTTTTCAATTTCAGTTTCTAATCTACGAACTACTTTATTTATTTCGTCCGATTTCCAGGACACTTTTTTATCGTGATTTGATTCGCTCGGAGATGAAGTGTTCATATTGAAAAGTGTTCCAAGAATAGGACCATCCAATTGAACATCATCAATATATTTTCTTTCTGGATCGCCGCATCCAAACACATGACCATGGAGAAAAATTGGTTCTTGTGTGATACTCAGTTGAATGGTGACCGTTTTCGGATCTAACAAACGAGCGTTATTTCCTGTAACTGCGTTTTGAGCGATTGGTACAATATGATTATACGCTTCTGTGACTAAAGCCATGGTTAACGCAAGACCAATTCTTTCTACGGAAGTATAATCTCGATTAATTGTTGAAAATATTTGGTCGTTGTTGATCAATCGAACAATGGAGCGATAGCCACGTTTATCTTTAGGATGGAGATGGACCGCATAATTTGATTGTTCAAAGCATACAAGTGCGATCACTTTGGGATCGGTTAAAGTACAAGACTCCAAAGCCCAATGACAGGATGAGGCGCTGGTGATCTGTCGATTGTTTGAAGAAGATGATGATGGATTTTCAACAAGCAGATGTGCCATCAGAAGGACATAAAAAAAAGACGAAAGAAACAATCCAATGACAACATCTAAAAAGATACAATTAATAATTCGATAAAATATACAAAGAATGAGAAAAATGCACAAACAAATAACTATTCATGTTAGACTTCATCTGTTGACGAACACGACATATTGAACTGAGTTTTCTACCATTTGCCTGTTCTTCAATTTCCGAAAGTCATATTTTTATTCTCTACTGTTGATTGTCGTTAAAAAATGATAAATATTATGTGACAATAATGTGCGAGTTTCTGCAATCATCATAAACTCTACGGTTTAACGTTACGAAACAAAAAAGATGACTAGTATAATAGATGAAATGGTCACTTAATGATGAATTAGGTTGTAGGTGACGAGAATATTCATATTCACATTCTTTGAAGAACCACACATGCGAACGCGTTGTTGATATGCTATTCGTCTAAAATATCGTAAATGGACCAACAACAAGAGAGACAACTCCACTCGATGATACAGGAGAAAAGGTAGACCAACAAAAGCAAAGATTGCTTTGCTAATACAAAAATTTATTTTTCTTGTCAATTTTCTTTTTTTATTTTTTAAATTTATTTTTAACGTTCTTTTTTTTATTTCTTCTACTTATACTAGATTATATTTCATGCAGATAAAAAGTTCTACTAATAAAATCAACATTTTTCACTGGCTAAATTTGAAGTTTTGTCAGATGTCAAATGTATTTTTTTACTACTCATTATATAATATTTTTGTAATTTAATACTAATAATTCGACAATTAATCACTCATTCTCTATACCGATCATTTATATATCGTTTTACTGATCAGTTTATCTGTTGTACTGATCACTTAAATCAGTCTTACCTTTACTATTTATTATTCTTCGTATTATTGATCTATCGTTTCCAAAAAATGAAAAAAAAAAAGAATAATGATATAACTGTTACCCTCTTGGAATATGCTTTTCTTGTGTTCTGTCGTTGCTGATTAGTAAAATAACAAAGTATGTATCGGCGATGATCGGTAGATGTCATGATGAAACGGTTTCACTGTGAGCTATTAGCAGAAATAGAATTCGAGAATATAAGGAGAAAGTGAGTTGGAAAAAAGTTGGATTAGAATCGAGCAGAAAAAGATGGATTTTTCAAAGTTAAAATCTTGAAAGTGAGTCTTAGTAAATTAGGAAAAGATACATCAATTAGATAATTTTTTCTATAGATATTCCCCAACTTTTTTAGGTTTTTGTAGTTTTCCTCGATGTTAATCCAGCTGAATTATTGTGAGTCACCTGAAAAGTTGTACTTTGAAAAGAAACTTAAACAAGAATATTTCGTTGGTCTTATTGTTTCGACGAATAACTAAATTCGATTTTCTTACAGAACAAATGGTTAAGCATTGTCAGCAGAACAAAGAAAGATAACCGAGAAGATTTGATCGTATCTATCTTCAATGTTGATAAATTTTTTATCAAACAAAAATAATGATGGATTGATCATTAAAGAAGAGCTATTTGTTTCCCAGTAGTCTGTTTCTATTATCAGTATCTCTAGTAAGTTTTGAGGAATGACGATATTTTTTATGATTTTTCTGTTTTCGTATACTTTTTTCGACAATGATTACTGTGTTTTAAGATACTTAGACGAATAAACATATGCTGAAATTTTTTTGGTCAGTAGTAGAATAATCAGAATAGTTATTGGTAGACATTTACAGCCTATTGTGCATAGATGTCTTATAAAGTTCGTCTACAATCGGTTTTCTCTAAAGCCACAAGTTACGACTAAAAAGTAAATGCAACTATCATTTATAATAAAAACAAAGCACATAACAGTGAAAAATTTTCTTTATTCGAAATCATATAAATCCAAAAGCAAATGATACTCTACGATATCAGTTTGCTACCAACATTTCATCAATTGATTGTTCTGTGAGGTTATTTTTCGATTTATCTTGTTTCGATTTCGAACTGCTGATCAGATCATTTTTGATAAGACGATAGAGAAGAACTACGTTAAGAAAACAAACAGCAAGAGTGGCAACTGTTATGCATACGTGGACTTCTCGATTGAGTCTGTGTCGCTGAAAATAAAGCGCATGCAAACAAACGCCTACAACGCCAAAACGGAAAAATATAAATGTCAAATAATTTCCGATTGTAACAAAAATGCAAAGCATTTGTGTGAACCTAACTGATAGGGATTTAGGTGAATACCATCGAAGAAGACGTCGTGCATGCAAAAACACACTATTAATTTCGAGTGAAAGACCATAGAGGGCGTAACCGAGGTTGCGCGTGTTAAAGAGTACATAACCTAAGAACAGAATAGCAGCAATGTGATGAATCAGAATACCCAATACAGGCAATGCCGAATTTTGTTTACAATCAACAAAGTCCCATAGAAAATAGCCAAGCGAAAATGCAGCTAATGCATAATTAAAACGGTTCGTGTGCGATAAAGGATCGTCGAGCATTTCGGGTGCTCGTATAATGGCAATTATTACAAATATTGACGAGAGACAAGAATGAATAAAACTTATCAGTGTATTTCGTTGAGGCCAAGATGATGTTCTACGAGAAGAATCTTTGTTTGTTGCTGCCACATGTCTATTGACGATAAAAAAGAAAACAAATGATGGTAAAACATAGATTATCATCCATATAGGCGAAATTGGTCGATATGGAAATTTGTCAGATTCATGAAAATAGTGTTGCGCATGCGTATCATGTGTCATGTTGATGGTAGCCAACGAGACACACGTGTGTTCGTATGATTATAAATATGTCTGTGTTGGTGTCTATATGATTACAGATCTGTGCGTTGGCATTCGTTCTGTTCTCTTTCTAGTTTTGTAACGATGGCAGCAAGAGAAAATTGTTCTGTTGGCAGCAATAATCTTGCTTTACTTCATCGTACATAACCGCATGCCTGCAACCATCATAATATATTTTACATTATTGAGGACAACATCGCGTTCTGTGTTATATTTACTACACACCAATCAATAATCATCACTGTACATTTACAACAACTATACTATACAAATGTCGTTATATTCGTGAGGAGGTGAGGATGTGGATCGAACTTCCTACTGAGTAAAATTCCTTCCAGATAAAATGACTCACGACAAAGTATCAAAAAGAAAACTTGTCTAATTGATACCAAATAATCGATTAAAAATTATAAAATGGAACATTCGAAAGTATCGAAGGCCTTTTGAGCAAGGATTTAGTAGATCTTATTAATACTAATGAACTATGTTTAACATATAAAAAGAGTTCGTGTTTATGGCGTGTTTCTGAGAAGATCAAAAGTTTTCACTATTACAACTGGAATAGTTATTATGTCAATCATTAAAGTTCAAACGGGAATGTGTCAACTCGTCACGTTTTTTCTTATCTGGTTTTCGTAACGAATTGACAGTACGAAAGCCCGTGACAGAGCTTTCGTAACGACAGAATCAGGGCTTTCGTAACAAAAAATCAGGGGTTTCGTAACAAAGTTTACAGGATGATCGTAATTGGTGTTTTAATATGTACCATTACAGAGCTTTCGTAACGAAAAGCATGTAATTTCTGCAAACTCAGTTCAGCTATCACCCTTATTCTCATTACGAAATCCCTGTTGCTCCGTTGCGAAAGCTCTGCAACTGTTACGAACTCCCTGTATTAATCGTTACGATCGCCCTGTAAATTTCGTTACGACATCCCTGTATTTTTGGATATTCCTATTTTTGGTGTTACGAAAGGTCTGATTTTTGCTGTTTGTTCAACTCGTCACGTGACGAGTTGAGACGTTCTCGTTCAAACAAGCTAAGATTTTTCTTATAGGTAGATAAACTCATGTGGAAGAGAGTGTAGATGTCGGTATAGATATAGCGGATAGCCACACGCACATCTATAATGATAATTTAATCGCAGTTCACCTCTAGGAAATAATCGGATTATCGCTTGCTTTTTATGTTACTGCAAGACTACAGATACACGACGAATATCTTGTTTCAACATTAATTTTTTCATTTGTAATAAATACGTATCAATGTCGCTCAGGCTAACCAATAGTAGTAAAATAAATATAATCATTGAAACTTTTAATCGCTTATCCAAAACTCATACCCTCACCCTCGTTGTTGGTAGCATATGAAATACTGTAAGAAATAGGTTGTCTCAGATTGTATTTAGATCCTGAACACCGTTGCTACCAATTATGGTCTTTGATATACACCGCGTGAACATAAATTTGACAAATGAGTGAGCAATATTTAATGTACTGCTTGTCATGTTTTGTCGAAAGACATACACGTCAGTCATCGCAAAAATGGCGAAAACAATAATTTCTTACAAATCTATTTCAAATTTTCAAAATCTTATCATGAAGATCTTTCATAGCTGTTTGTGAGAGATGCTCACAAATTATCCACATTCATTCAGCTGTTGACTAATGTGGCGTCATAGCAAACAGCTTTTCTTGAAAGCAGCAAAATTCAGCCGTTTCTGAATGATATTGTTATTATTTCGAATTCATACCACTAGAATAGAATTTTATTAATGTCTGGTTCATAAAGTTTTCGATTTCACAAGGTTCTTTCAACATAATGCGAAAATTGTCTTCCTGGTGTCACGTCCAGATGCCGTTCAGAGTCCAAATGTCGAATGTGTCAATTATAATACTCTGATTCGTGGTCGGACCACTATTTACATAAACTGCTAAATGTTCGGCCGTATCGTCTTCTGGATAGACACGCGTTGTGATTGCCATACGACCACCTTGTGGTTCAAACACTTCGATTACTGAATGATCAATGAAAATATGTAATCCAAGAAACCACTGATTGTTCAATGACTCAGACTCCAACAAGATCGTACCAGCAAGTGGAACACGTGATGCGCCGGGATTTTGTTGTGATAAGGTTCGATTAATGTAGATCCACACAAGTTGTTGCTGATTTGTTTGGCGTTGTTTTATACCTGAGGTACATGTTGAGTCTGCTTCCAAATGCGGTATCCCCGTTTTAAGAAAACAATTGTTATTTACTTGTCGACTGCTGACAAAGGTCCATGTACGACATTTAGCATCCTGATTGCAAGCGTATTGACAATCAAACGAATTTGTAATACCTGGTACACTAAAATAGTCCCATCCAGGCAAATCCCAATTAGGCATAAACGTTGTGTTAGCTCTCATCATCACACCAATGTTTGTTCGTTGGTTACCATTCGATGTTGAAAGAACACTCAATCCGAAATCTAAATCCTATGAAAAAATTCATCGAAAATTTGATCAGAACAGTCTGAACGTATATTTACTTGATCTCTTGGAAATTGCCAGTTGATCATCACTTCAATTTGATTTCCATTCACATCAGGCACTAGTTGGAATGGTATTATTGATGATAAAACGATATTATGAAAGTATCGATGACTTTCTTCAATACGTAGACTTTGCAATGCTAGTATTGGACGTGAACGAAGTTGCAGACCGTCATCCGAAAGAAAGATAGATCGTGGCAGGGAATGCATACCTTGCCAACCTCGTTTTTCACCTTGATCATCATCTTCAGCTATCCAACCTACGATCACTTGTCGATCAGAAATTGGATCATGAAACGATTTTGATGCATAGAATTTCCCCTGATCGACTAGTTGTGTATATTCGCCAAGATCCCCAGCAAGAGGATGAAAAACTTTTTCTATAGGATCTAGTTCACCAACAGTCCAAAAGTCTTGTCCACGCAATGATGCTTTCATGATGAGTCGGTTAGAAACATTGAAAATGTCTGGACACTCCCAAAAGACATCATAATGGTTGCTGTGAATTGGATGCAAGTACGTCCAATTCACAAAATCCTTGGATGTAAATAAGACTGCTTGTCCACCGAGTTCATCCGAGCCAAATCCATAGATCAAGTAGTAATTATTATGATCATCTTGAAAAGCTGTCGATGGATCACGTCCATTCGGACTAGTAATAAGTGGATTCGATGGCCACTTAATCCATTCTGTCAATGTTGGGTCTGAGACGTTAGCTGGACGAGCTTGACATTGTACTTGTGCATTGGTTTCATTGATTCCAGTATAGATGATAATTGGAACACCGTCAATGATAGATGTACTGCCAGTCCAGATGCCATTTATATCGTATGTTTGATCAGGTGCAATGGCATTCGGCAAACGTATCCAATGAACCATGTCTTTACTGTAGCAATGACCCTTCGAACAAGAAACAAACAACACAACAATATCAGAAATTTTTGACTTTGCTTGATATCACCTACCCAATGTATTTTTCTTGGTACTGGAGCATCTGGATTGTATTGAAAGAACATATGATAATACCCATTGTAGTATACAGGACCATTCGGGTCATTAAGCCAATTACTCGGTGGCAACAGATGATATTGTGGATGAAAGCGATCTTCAGCTTGACTGATGCCGAGAATTATGATTAGCAAAACGAAGAAGAACATTTTTTGCATGTCTTACGTGCACGTTTGCAATGATGGTTATCATCGAATGCCTTATGTATCTTTTGTTGCATTGTTATCTTTGTCTTGCTTCAGATAGAGATATAAGTGTATAGGCTCGTTTATCGAGGTCTTTACGCGCAAATGGCTGTACACAAAATACGTTTGCAAAACTCGTGCTACGGCACATAAAAATATAAACAACAGAGCAAGCACAGAATTCCATGAAAAGCTTCAGTCTTCAGTCCAGTGACCTCTATGCTTTAGAGAGTATTCTGTGTAAAGTCGTCTAGTTTCATTACCATTAGTTAGATGAGCATTGACTATGTATAAAATCATATTTCAAGGGATCTTGATGAATAAAATATTGTAACAAGCAGTCGAATCTTTTGAACAAACATTGTATGTGCCCGAGCTAAGCTATCATTTTACTAAAATGTCATGTTTGCTCGCGTTATCACTTGTGAAGATTGTGTGCATGTACTTTTATTCGCATGATACAGCTACAGTCTGCGCATAGTCTTACTGTGACTATTACTGCCTAGAATAGACACACGATCTGTTGCGACAACAAGAAAAATGGTTGCAACCGAATGAAAATTCCAACAACGGATCCTGTTAATGACTGTGCAACAAAAGCGATTTTTTTCTGACTTATCTAGTTCACCGGTCGAACGCGACAAGTTTTGTTTTCTTCGCTGAAAGTGATGACGAAAAGAATTAAGCTATAAAACAACCAAGTGTCGTTGACGCATTAGTTATCGCCTGATTGCTCGGTAGATTGAACAATGGTCACGTAAGGAAACCAATCGTTTTTGAGCTTATATTTTGCATATAAATAGGATCTTACAAGACTCAACTAAGCCTACAAGGATTTACCTGCATAAAAATATGGAGTCGGATAATAGCAAGTGCAAGAGTGTGTGGGTGTGGCTGAGAATGTAGATCTTTACGTCATATGTACATCAACCATCCCAACGCTCACACCCAAGTATAATATTAGAAACTGAGAGTTCAAAATTGTGGCCGTACACTTGATTGCCTTAATAAAGATAAATTGCTCTTTTTTACAAAGTCGATATGTTAATGGAAATATAAATAGAGAGATACGATATAGCAAATATTCCATAACACTGAATTCAAAATAAAAGAAAGAGAGAAAGAAAGAAATATTGCTCTTCAAATATTTATATGTTGTTGTTTTCTTTCGTTCTTTTTGTCGGCAGAGAGAATTGACCAAGGCTCGCACAGAACGTTTGAAATTACGAAATTACCTTTCATCAATGACGAAATAAATTAAACAATCAAAAGAAAAAAATACCATTACCGGTACTGGGACTTGAACCCAGACTGAGAGATTGAAGGTCTCTTATCCTACCATTAGACTATACCGGTGTGATCAAGTCTTAAGTGAAAAATATTCAAATTCTACAATATCAGCTCAATATTGACTTTGGATGTGGATAAAGAGAAGAACCATATCAACACTCCATCCAAGGATTAAAGTTATACGTTGAAAAGACTTTTGCCTGGCCGATATATATATAGTGATATTTGGAGACCATTAGAGAACTACATATTCACAGGGAAGGTATGATTCAAAATTAATGTGATTCAATTACTAAGAAGAGGAGTGAGCTTTAAAAAATAAAGTATAATTCTATGATGTCATTTGCATCAACATAGAGTGAAGTCTTTATGACAACTATTGTCGTGCTTTAGTCAATAAACTGCAGCGTCAGTAGCGTAAACCATTTTTTATTGATTAGATCAAATGAATCAAGAACAAGTAGAACTGTTTTGCAAAAACCAACATTATTTGGAGTTGAAATACTACATTTTTAGAATGATTAGGATTTCTAATGATTTTAAAGATGAAGGTAATGAGATTTTTCTTAGATAGGGTACAGGATACAAAGAAGCTTATTCTATACGTCTCTAATTCTAATGTAGCTCAAATGAATCTTTTGAATTAAAATAGGATTTCAATTCTTATGTAAAGTTTAAATTTGGAACAGTGCTTAATCGTCATTATTTGCAATTTCGTCCCATGTAACTATGTGATTTGTGTTCATGACCAACGCTAATTTCTCGATATGAACAATTTGCATATGAAGTTTCATTACTGGATACACTTGTTTGTTGTCAACACGTATTCTGGTCGGTATTCGATTCCATCCATAGATGACTAATGAATCTAAGATTAATCTCGACATATGTGCATAGTTATTTTTGATAACATTAATCGACAATTCACTGTTCTTTGACGACCATTTGAATGATGCATAATAATAGTTTTGTGAATCGATTGTATCAAGAGATTCACCATCATCATAGAAGAGATCTCCTTCTGCTCGACCATTTGCATTTATTACAATAATGAGTCCAAATGGTTTCTCTCTAGAGTATAAGATGAATTCTACATGTAATCAAAAGAATCTTCAATTATCTACCTTGAATATTTTGTATTCAAAGCATAACCTTGTGTTGGCAAAATGGCTCCACCTCTCAACAAAATTGGTATGGTTTCTAATGGTGCTTCTACAATCATAAATTGTTGTTGTGCTTGAATAAGGGAACCTGTATAATAATCGTACCAATGTGATGAAGGAATATAGATTCGAACTTGTCGTGCTCCATCATCGGTAACCGGTGCTACCATGATATGTGGTCCAATGAGAAATTGAAGATAAATATCGAGTGTTGTTTTATCTGTTGGAAATTCATGAAACAATGGTCGAATAACTGTTGAACCTTGTGTATGTGCTTTGTAGAACAATGTGTAATAGTATGGTAGAAGAGTATAACGAATTTGAAGAGCCGAAATCATGATAGAAACCGCTAATGCAGACCAAGAAGCTGGATCTTGATCAAATGCCTTGTTACCGTTGTGCTATAGATAAAAAACAAGAATAAAGGAAAAATATTTACATATATTGAACTTACATTTCGGGAAAATGGATAGAAGGCACCAATTTGCATCCATCTAGAACAAGAATAAGATATATTCAATAGCAAAACAATAATTTCTTCATTACCGAATGCACATTTCTTCAGTTGGTGATTTTTCAAAACCACAAATGTCAGCACCATTGAATGGAATACCGAACCAATTGAATTCAATCATCATAATCAACGATCGCTTCATTTCATGCCATGTGGCTTGGTTATCTCCAAACCAATGACTACTCCATTGACCCGAACCGACAAAAGTTGAACGAGTTAATATTAAACTTCGTTTGCTTATGGCTAATCTTAGCGCATTCCATGTTGCTCTTGTTTCACTCCAGCCATAGAGACTACAGAGAGAACTCAATAACTATCAGATAATCGAGAATGAGAGAGAGTGAAACATACTTGTGAACATCATAGTGTCGATATTTAGGTCTACCTGTCATTGAATTTATTTCTCCTTGAAGAGCTGACATACATAAAGTGCGATCAGAAAGACGAGAAGATCGATCCATATTGTCGTCATATTGAAAAACAGCCTTTGTACGATAGGGTGGATCGTCCAATAGATTTTGTGGACATTTTAGTGTATAGTTACTGCCAGCCTCCATCCAATACCATGAAATCGGATCATTTGTATTGAACAAAGCTAAACATTTAAAATATTATAGATTGCCGAGGTTTTGGTGTCACTTACCAGGCTCATTCATATCAATCCAAAGTCCATCGAATGTTAAATTGACTTGTCGAAAATTTTTTATCCATCGTGACCACCAAGCTTGAGTTCGGTCTGTAAAGAAATCTAAATTGATTTTGATATTCGTCTTATCTGTCCAATGTATTTACACTTACCTGGAAAAAAAACATCGCCTGGCCAACAAGCTCCTTTCATCAGCATCCCCGTATGATCCCATCGAATGAATACATCTTCTTGAATGCCTTCAATGGTTGGTGCATAATAATCTTTATCATTAATCATACCCGGATCAAGAATAACCATTGTTCTTATACCATCTTGATTCAATAGAGCAACATATTGGTTTATTCGACGAAAATGAATTGGATCGATTGTAAAATCTTTTTTTGAATCCATATAATCAATATCAGTATATATTACATCAAGCGGTACACCAGCATCACGATTGCGATCTATGACAGTTTGCATATGGTTCAAACTGGAATAACCCCATCGAGAAAGTTGAAAACCGAGTGACCAATATGGTGGCAAGATAGATCGTCCAATAAGCCATGTATATTGTTGAATGACTTGTTCTGGTGTTGGACCAAGAAAAATGAAAAAATCGAGAATACCACCGGTTGTACGTATTGTTAACGATGGTGTCGAGCTAAATGAATAGTCCATAGCATTCGAATTGAGTAAGAGAACTCCATGCATATGACCTGATGGAAGTCCATCTGTATTTGGTATTTGTTCCATGAGAACATAAAATGGATGTGAACCATACTGATTCGTGTTTGACTCCCAATTCGTATCTAGAGAATAGATCAATACTTATCATATTTGAAAGAAAAAAAAAATCTTCTATTAATAACTAACTTTGATCACGTGCAAAAATACCCCATGTTTTTTGTTCATATACATTATGTTTAAGTGTATCATGATTGTTCTCACCAAATCCGTAAATATGTGGCGATTGAAGTCGTGTAACGATTTGAAGAAATTGATTATTGAGCATAAGACCACCGAGAGATGTATCGAATAGAATAGTTTCACTTGCACGACGTTTGACACCGAATGAAAACAGATTGTGA